TTCTTTGCTGATGTATGCTTGTTGGCTGGATCTGTACGCAATGCATACCATACCAAATTCCGTTCCCAATTAAGTAATCCACCATCATGCGAGATACTGAGGAAGGGAGTTTTTGGAGCAGGAGCTGCCTTTGTGGTCTTGACAGGCATAGTCTCCGAGCTGTACTATGTCAGCTATTCGAAGGCCAAAGACACTCATGCTCCTCGAGATCCCGGGGTGCGAATGGGAAACCTATAGCTGATTTCATATGGAAGTAGTTAGGAATATTCTAATCTATGATTCATATGTGACACATTCTGGGTATGGAGACAATTTTAGATTTCATAGTACATATGAGCTTTGTATATGTTGATTTTGAGACAAGAAGTTTAATTGGGTGATGTTTTGTTTTGTAATCCACTTTTAGTGAATGGTAGAGTTTGAATATGAATTATGAACATGTTATTTGGTTCAGCATCTAAAGAAAAGTTCTACAATTCGTTTTATTTTTTGTTTTTCAAAATGAACCCTAGATTCTTAGAAAAGAAAATAGCAGGGTAACTGGGTGTATGTGTGGGTGTATATATATATATAAGGAGTGTAACAATGGAACCCAACACTTGGTCCTTGAACAAGATGTTCTTGATTGGTTACTCCTACAACCTCCTCTGTGAACAGAGTTTAATGAAGTCTCAATCTCACATTGATTACTTACCCATTAAAAATTAAGACCCACCCACCTCTTAAAAGGCTTAAATAAATATGAAAAAAAAAAAATTTAAAATATCTAATTCAGATAATGACAAGTATTTTATTATTGAATTAATTTTGAGTTTGAGTCCAATTTCTTACTTTATCTAAAAAAAATCTAATATAATTTAAAATAAATTATTTAATAATACCCAAAAAAAAACTCTAATTTTACTAAATAATTTACCAATTTATTAAAGTTTAAAAATTAAAAAAAAAAAATTGGGTATTCAAATATCTTTATGAATTAAAATCCTATAAATTAAACAGTTATTGCTTATTAAAAAATAATTTTAAAAAATGAATAATTAAGTACATGTATTTTGTTATTACTTACCTTATTATATATATTAAGAAACAAATTAGTTATAAACAGCAAATAAAGAATCTCAAATAATTAACTGTCTAATTAGAATGAATGATATATATATATATATATATATATATTTATAAACACACACACGTGTATGAATGCTATATATATATATATATATATGTATGTATCTATGCACTGGGGAAGCTGAAAGGATAAGTAACATATAAACAGAAGGTATAGAAAAGTGGCCCCAAGATGCACATGTTCTGTAAGGAATAGATTGGGGAATGTAGACAAAGCACAATGGAATAAAAAATTCTTCAGTGCATGCCCAGAGAGAATTAGAGCCACCAGTCAAGAAACTCTAAACTATACCAACTATAATAATTAACTCTCAACTGCTCACATCACACTACACATACACACACACACATATATATATATATGTATACACACACACACACACACATGTATAAAATATAAAATTATTCAAACCCAATTAAAAAAAGAAGAGAAAAGCTCAAGCTTTACAACAAGAATGCATGTGTCAAGAGTAAGAAAAGCTAGAGTAAGGAGATTCTTAACAAGTGGTCCTGAATTACAAAACCCATGTATTAATATCATTCAGACACCCAATATATGCATACATATATATATATATATATATATATATATATATAATGCACATATCTACAAGAATCTTCAATCACATCTTGATCTGGGTTTTAGACCCAGCCTAGCTGTAGTTGACCCCTCTTCACCTCTTGTGTCAAAATTAAACTCTTCACATCATGAATATATATATAAAATATTATATGTATATATAATATATCCTTATCAAATACGTACACCCACCAAAATTCCATCAAAATCCATATTGTATTATCAAATCCTTTTACCTACCTTACATAACATTCACAAGATATTCTTCAATTAGGAACTCAGAGTACATAAATTGTACACCTTGAAATCTTAACATGTCTCACTATTATAACAGTTAATACAGGTTGAGAAACTATATATACATTAGATCATATAAAAACTATATTATTGTCAACCTGATCAAAACTGCATACCATATAAATTAATTAAGATTAGAAACTCATGATCTAAATCACCCATCAAACTTAACCATATATGTATATATATTTTCATGCAACTCCAAAAAAATTCAAAGAAAATGGAAGTAAATGATCATTCATTCAAAATCTATATTATATATTCATGGTTTGATATCAGAATCATCCCAAGGTATGTTGAGATCATGAGTTGAGACGAAGGTATCAATGTCATCCCAGTTCCAGTAGTTCCCGATCTCCATGCTTGCTGTAGCAGATTGAGATTGCCATGACTGAGCTAAAACCGTTGTGGTGGGCATGAGCATACTGGTGATGGTTGGAACGACGTCGTTTCCTTTCGTCTGTTCATCTCCAGTAGTGAGATTATAGAGAGTAGAGGAGTGAAGAGAAGTGGAAACTGAAGATGGGTTGGTTTCAAAAGAGCTGGAACTTGAACTTGAAAAGGGAAAGTGAAGAGCTTGATGATGATGATGATGATGATGATGATGATGAGCATTAAGAGGAGAAAGTGTTAAAGAATTCGAACTACTACCAACAAACATAGTTGAATTCTGTAATGGAGATTTTGCAGGTTGAATCATCCTTCTGTAAAGCATATCGGACAAGGTTTTCTGATCATTAAACCCCAAATTAGGTAGCTCTTGATTCCGAATTCCCATATAACCAAGCTTGTTACTGATTTTTCCATTTGTCGCCGTTGAAACGGTGTCGTTTGATGTTTTCAGACGCTTGTTTTTCCGGCCACCGCCGACGGGAACATTACGTAAAGTGCCGCCTTTAGTCCAGTGCCGTTTACAAGTCTTGCAGAAATGCCTAGGCTGTGACTTGTTATAATTATTATAGTAACAAAACTTGGTGTTAGTCGAATCACACCTTGGACACTTCAATGGCGACTCTGCAACTTTCTGCTGATTATTATTACTTTGATTGTTTTGTGGGTGTTGTCTCTTTAAAGATGAAGATGCCTTTGGGAACTCCGAGGTTGTCGTTGCTTGCAACAAAGTCTGGTTCCAATCAAGCCCGTGATCATCACTAGAAACTTGCTTAGAACTCAAACCCATTTCTCCGATCAGATCAAAATCAAAGCTTTAATCTTTAATCTGTATGATCAAATCAAGAAAAGCAATTAGCTACCCTTTGGATCGGTTTGCAGTAGGAGAGATTGATGTGAAGAAGAGCAAGAGAATGAGATTGTTGATTATGATGATCAAAGGGTTTGAGGGTTTGAATTTGATTAGAGAAAGGAAATGGGTAGGAAGGTGATGAGAAGTGAGCATGTCTCTTTTAACTCTCTCTCTCTCTCTATATCTATATATCTATATGTCTATATACCCCTCTGTAAATGTAAAATTATATAGAGATGGGAATTAATGATTTTTGTATTAGAAGATGAAGGTTAATTACTTGAAGAGCTTTGATTGGTAGAAGAAGGAAATAATAATGGAGCATGCTGTTGTATCTTCACACGGTTTTATAAGAAAAGAGATAGAGATGAGGAGGAGAAGTTGCTTAACCCCAAAGGTGAAAGATGGGTTCGTGACACGTGGCGATCACTACGCCGTTCATAGTGCTCCTGACTATGTCTTGTGAACAAGACGTACATATATATAAATAATTATATATAGCGGTATAAAAAATTAATTAATTAATTAAACTGACCTATATTTTTAATATATTTAAATATTTAACCATAAGTATATGTAATAATAATAATAATAATAATAATAATAATAACGTTATGCAAATTTTGTAGTGCCTTAAACTTGTATATTTATTTGACAGTTCGCCTCTTGATTTGGTTGTTCTTTAAATAATTTTTTCTTTTACAAATTTATACATTTCAATAATATTAATAGCTATTTAATACATATTAATTTAATTAATAAATTAAATAATTCATACGTTCATATTTTTTTAAAAAAATTATAAATTTAAATTAAACTTAAATAATATTTTTTATTGTGTTATGATCCATATTTTTGTACAACTTATTTACGAATGTCGTATAAATTTTTATCAAAGAAAATTTAATTAATAAGTTTAGAAGCTATTTATTAATATAAATAACAAATTAACTCAATTTTATGAGTTTAATTTTCTTGAATAATTAGAAGTATATATTGTATCACTTCACACCCATAGCATAATCAAAAATTTAATTGAAAATCTAATATAACTTAGTCCTATATTTTTAAATTAAATTTTAGCCACCATGATTATGTTAGAACTTAAATGATAAAATTAATTAATTTTTTATTATTTAGAGATAATAATTAGAAACAAGATTATATTATGTTAAATATTTTCAACATGATCGATACAGTAAAAAATAATCAATTTCAATCATGACCTTTTATATTATGGAGATTTGCATTATAACTTAAACAGTTTAGTTAATTAATTCTTATTTGATTAAAAGTTAATTAATTATTTACACCACTACTAAACTTAATTCAGAAGTTGATATAGGTGGGCATAGCTTCCTATATATGGCAAGGAGCATCATATGTGTGTGTGTGTGTGTATGTGTGTGTGCGTACGTATATCTACACATGTACATACATATATACATACATATATATATATAAATATAATTGGCACAAAGAATGAAAGTACACCTAGTAGCTGGGGTCCCAAGTTGGGTCATCCTGTTTTTGTAGGTTGTTTTTTGGGGCTAAATGGCTTGTGTGTGTTGAGAGAGAAAAGAGAGTGGGACCATGTGGGGCCCCCAACCTGTAGAATTATAAGACAGCTGGCAGCATGTGATTAGTGGGTTGCTAATGTAAGTATATGTGGGTGATAATCCTATGGGCCTATGCACATGTGATTACATGTTAGGAGTTGGGTTGCTTGTGATCCATGCACGTGTGGTTTGCCCATGTGTGTTTTCTCTTTATTTCTAGACTACATACCATTGTTTTCATTTCTAATTTTGCATTATACACATTATAATCTCAAATATCATCCCCACAATACTAATTAAACGAAAATCCAAAGTTATCAAATCAACGATACTCTTATTAGAATTGGACTAAATATTTTATCATAATCGACGATTTTAAGTTTTATATTACAGTCTTTAGTTATTAATTGTGTTTTACATTGATTTATTAAATTATTTTACATCTTTTTTATGCGATAAATTTAAACCTAATAATACTTTTACCATGAAGTTTTAGAACAAGGAGCCATTGTTTTGTTAGTAAGAGGATAATGATCCCTTCGCCTGGTTTCATTTGAGATATTTTTTGGGGCATGTGCATGGATGAGGAAAATGACACAGAAGTGAGGTTAGCATGTCATTGATGTACTGTTGAAGGTTAAGGATGCATAATTGAACTTAGGCTACATGAGATAAGTACGACGAATATTTGGGTAAGAAGAATTTATTTTGATAAGTTATGAAGTCTTTAATTGGCTTTAATCCAATAGGTGAACAGATAGATAAGGAAAGAATTATTCGATAGTGTTGAAGATGAGTCTTCCGATAAAGACGGGTGAGAGGACAAAAATAAAAATTGGTAAAAGGATGATAAAGAAAATAAATATCTTCAATATAGGAGTAAACTAATAAAGATATTATTCCTAAAGCTAAAACTACAACAATAAGTCAATGTTTGAACTAGTAAATAAAGGCTAAGAATTGGTCTATTTACATGTCTTAAAGAGAAAAAAAAAATTTGGTAAAATGAATGCGGCCAATAATACATATGTGCATCTATGTGGCATGTTGAGGGATAAGGAGTGTAAAACCATGGGGGTTTATAAGGATGTCCCCACAACGCGTGAACTCTTTCCTTTAACATTTTCAATTAACATGTCGTCCCCATACCTTATCTGGTATGAGCACCAAATTACAAAACATCAATACCTCGTCCGCTATGAGGGTGAAACGGACCGTCCCCATACCCTATCCGGTATGAGCGTCAAATTACCAAACTTCGATATCTCGTCCGATATAAGGCAACGTTTACGATAGGGTTCCCTATGTACCTGATCCGTCCACCACCTCTCAGGATATCTAATAAAGATGTTGTTTCGTCCATCCACTTAATCACACAATATTCCATTTAGCTTTAATATCCAGTTTTTCAATTCAACAGTAATCACATAAAACAAACACAACATGCATCAGGGAATGCAATCACATCTCAGTTTTTCAATTTAACAGTAGTCACATAATGTAGCAATACATGCATTTAAAACCATAAAATCGATTAATCAGATATTATCATGTATTCAAACTATAAAATAAATCAACATAAATCAATAGAGAATAATTTTCAGTTCTCGCTCCATTAATAACCCGTAATTAATTATAGATATTTTTTTAAATTGCACAAAATACCGTATTATTGTTAATTAGACTTCAATTTCATAACAGAGAATAAGGTGAGAAATTCTTACTCAAATTGATATCCGAAAAGCTAAACTTGTTGACTGTGTCTACTGGCGGTCCCCGGATTTTTTGAAATTTTTTTTCAGAGATTAAAACGCGCTACATTACCTACAAATATATCAAAAATCCAAAATCGGTGTGAGGACCTCTTTTTGGCCAATTCTGAAATTCTGGCACGTCGGCTCCGCGGTGCTTCGATGACGGTGACAACGGCGGTTTGCCTTGGGTCAGCTGTTTTCGGCCTTTTTCAGCTGAATTCGGCTGATTTTTGCATCAATTTCTGTAAGAAAACACGTTAAGGGGCCTCGGTTGACTCAAAAAAATAAAAAACTGAAACTCACCGGCAGCGAGGTTCTCCGGTGCAGCAGCTCCGCCAGCTCACCTTTGTAATTGGGTGTTTTACTTCGGTCAACCTGTAGAGAAGAAAAGGGTGGTTAAAATGGTGAAAGAATTATGTAGAACGTGAATTGGAAAGGGCCTCATCGGATGCGTTTTTTAAAATTTTTCGTGGCTGCGCTGCAGTGCTTTACCTACGATTTTCAGCCAATCCACCGATCTTTTTCTTCTGATTCGGCCATGGAGATGTTTAAAATTAAATTCTGAGCAAAAAAAAAATTTATCTCTTTTGGCAGTCGGAAGTGTCTCCGGCGTAGCGGTGGGTGGCGACGGCTCTCCTTCCTGGCGGCTGGGTCTTCTTCTCCGGTGAGGGTGTCTGACGGATAGGGTCAAGGTTTGGTGTGAAGAGGGTTATTTGTATCCATCTCCTTTTAATAAGGGTCGTCCATCGCGTTTGATATAGATTGTTCATCACGATCTGATCTAAACCGTCCGATCGCGTTTAAATTTGGTTATCCGATCGCGTTTGAGGAGAGAACGCATCTGGGTCATTTGTACGCGCGAAAGTAAATCTGAACTGTCCGATCGCAGGCACGCGGATCGTCCGCATGGCACCGCGTCAGCGTCCATTACCACGCGACGCATTCTGGTTCGTCGAGGCTGCTGACTGGGCATCCTACGTTGTACAACTTTTTAAAATTATATTTTGACCCCAGTTCCCGATTTTTTAAAAAAAAATACTCCCAAAACCCAAGTTTTCACCCTTTTTTTTTTCAAAATTGTTTTCAATTTCATCCTCCTTCTATTTTCCTTCATTTTTATATTAAATTAAATTTTAAAAAATTTAAAAATTATATTTATAAATTAATTTAAATTACTATTAAATAAATTTGGGTATTATAGTTTCCTTCATGGCACTGTATCTAATATCAAAAGCAAGTCACTTAATTGTTGATTGCTTATTGCACTGTATTTATGTCCTTTAAGAGTTTGACCTCTTTTTGGCCAATTTCAGAATTCCATTAGCATATTATAAAACTAATATTCTTATCAAGAATTAGACTATAAAAAATTATTTATTTCCCATCATCATAATATGCGAAAACAATTCCATTAGCAAAATGCATTAGTCGTTCATAATTTTTTTTTTTTTAAAAAATCCTTAATAGACTTCAAAATTAAGTTCATAACTCTCAAAAATTTTAAGAAAACCTCTTTTTAACTTTAAAACTATCCATAACTTGTGATTAGTAATCAATTCAGTAGACAATACAAGTTTTTTGAATAAATTTATATATTTATTAATTTTGTGATACACATATATCAATTATAATAAAATAAAAATACTCCATCGATAAGGATTTATATATATATATATATATATATATAAGAATAGAATCCAACTTAAACTCACTTATAAAGAAAATATATATATATATATATATGTATCAATCATTCATTATTAATCAAAATTTGAGTGATTTATGAGTTTAGGTTAAAGAAAATAATTAAGGGTGAATATCAAATGAAGAAATTTATGTCAAACACACATGCATATATACATATAATTTTAATTATATACGTGATGGATGTGAAAGAATATAGATTTGATCAATGTAACTTATTAAGTTATATATAGTGGTGTATTATTATTTAAATTTGAAGTAACAAATATTGTT